ACTGTTGCTTCTTGACCCGCATATAGGTTTCTCAAGAGACAAATAAGATGGTCTGGTACTCCCATCTCTTTAAGAACTTGCCACAATTTGTTGTGATCCACACAATCAAAGGCTTTAGCATAGTCAATAAAGCAGAAGTAGATGTTTTTCTGGAACTCCCTAGCTTTCTTCATGATCCAGTATATGTTGGCAATTTGATCTCTAGTTCCTCTCCCTCTTCAAAATCCTGCCTGTACTTCTGGTAGTTCTTGGTCCACATACTGCTGGAGCCTAGCTTGTAGGATTTTGAGCATAACTTTGCTAGCATGTGAACTGAGTGCAATGGTGTGGGAGTTTGAACATTCTTTGGCATTGCCCTTCTTTGGGATCGGAATGTAAACTGACCTTTTCCAATCCTGCGGCCACTGTTGAGTTTTCCAGATTTGCTGCAATTTGCTCAATATGCTACATATTGAGTGTAGCACTTTTACTGCATCATCTTTTAAGATTTTGAATAGCTCAGCTGGAATACTGTCACCTCCACTAGCTTTGTTGTTGCTCAGACTTCCTAAGACCCATTTGACTTCACATTCCAGGATGTCTGGCTTGAGGGCAGTGAACACCCCATCTTGGTTATCAGGGACATTAAGCTCTTTCTTGTACAGTTCCTCTGTGTAATCTTGCCACCTCTTCTTAATTTCTTCTGCCTCTGTTAGGTCCCTGCGATTTTGGTCTTTTATCATACCCATCTTTGCATGAAACGTTCCCTTCATATCTCCAATTTTCTTCAAGAGATCTCTGGTCCTCCCTATTCTATTGTTTTCTTCTATTTCTTTGCACTGTTCATTTAATAAAGCATTCTTATCTCTTCTAGCTATTCTCTGGAATTCTGCATTCAATTGGGTGTATCTTTCCCTTTCTCCCTTGCCTTTCGCTTCCCTTCTTTCCTCAGCTATTTGTAAAGCCTCCTCATAGAGCCATTTTGCTTTATTGCATTTCTTTTTCTTCGGGATGGTTTTAGTTGCTTCCTCTTGTACAATGTTGCAAAACTCCATCCATAGTTCTTCAGGCACTCTGTCTATCAGATCTAATTCCTTAAATCTATTTGTCACCTCTCCTTTGCCATTTGTTAGCTTCTCTCTATCATCTCTTTAGAAACACAGAGTAAGACTGGGATGCCACAGGAACATTTGCTGCCTGGAAAGCATCCTCTTAAAAGCTTGTGCATGCTCTGTAATTTCTGTTGAATATACTTACTGTGTAAGTGTTGTGCATGTCTATGTGAATGCAAGTCCAGGGCATGTTCTTTCTGGCAGTGCACATTAAAGCCTAGCAAAAGATCCTCAACCCCTTTGCAGGCAATCTGGCTGGCAAGCACCTTTTGAGGCACATTGCTCCCTGAGATCACTTGACATAACAACTGACAAAGGTAATAATTCCCAGTCACATTTCAGGTGATGCCAAAGGTTTTCTCTGCATGCTTCTCTTGTGTTGTCCCAGAAGAGGCTCCTTAATTGTGCAGATGGGCATGTTGAAACAAAGCTATTTTTTCAGGCATTGGACTCAGCTAGTCCTTGTGTTCAGCTCATGCTAGACTTGCTCCTTGTCCATTGCACTTGGAAATGCTACCAAACTAGGCTCAGACTCAGAATCAAAATTTAGAAGTCTAGAAAGCTCTCAAAGAGATCTGAGTTTTACAGTCCTCAATTCTTCTCTATTTCAGATTTAAAAAGAGTAGAAGAATTTCCCCCCTGCCCATCAATAACCCTACCCTCACTCACAAAAAGGGATACTTCCCCTCTCCCAAGCATGCCCCTCCTTTTTTAAACAAAATATTATAATCTCTAATGGCTATGGAGAGTCAAAAGAGTCAAATGTAGCTTGCAAACGTGCTAATTTTGTCTTCAGTGTAACAGAGCACTGTGGACCCATTTGTTGATGAATTTCCAGAATTTTTTTTAAATTCCCACTGAGGCCCATGGGGGCAGAGGCTAAAATGTCTCCCCCCTCCATATCTCTTGCTCACAGCTGTGCTTTTTATGATTTACAGCAGTGCAGAAATGGCAGTAACGACAAGCAGAAAAGGAAAAAAAATCCCTTTGCTCACTCCCCCTTGATGTTCATTCTGTCTCATTAGCTAACAACATGCTGGGTGCACAATATGCCATTTTAGAAAACTGATACTTTAAAACATGGTCCTGGAGAAGAGCTTTGCAAATACCCTGGATTGACAGAAAGATGAACAATTGAGTCCTATATCTAATCAAACCAAAACTTTCCTTGGAAGCAGAAGTGAGAAACCTGAGGCTGTTGTACTTCTGGCAGATCATGGGAAGGCAAGACTCACTAGGGAAGACAACAATGCTAGGGAAAGTTGAAGGCAGAAGAGGCAGAAGTAGGAGAAGACGAAGAAGACCACCAACTATGGGATGAATTGTCTTTATAGACAGTCGCAGCCTTGAGTTTACAAGAGCTGGGCAGGGCTGTGGAGGACAGGACATTTTGGAGGGCATTCATTCATAGGGCTGCCATACGTCAGAGATGGTGGCATGTAACAAGATAGAAAATGCATCTCTTGCAGCCTTTATGACATATAAAAACTTTTACATTAACTTTCAACTTTTTCCTGAATTACATATTCCATGGTAACCAAGGCTCTGGATTCTTGCATGGATATGCAGATGCTGTAATGTGCATAATACAGTACTCCAAAAAAGAAAAAAAGCAATGAAATGACAGCAATAGTGTACCAAATTGATCAATTTTCTTAGATTTAATATTATAAAAACTTGTTAGAACTTCATTGATCAAAAATTTGAACATTATCAATTCTTGAAAACTAATTCGAACTGGTGTTTTGTACCAAAATTTTTCACATTTCAAAATCTGTTCAAATGTTATAAAAAATTAGTTTTATTTTAATGTTTAAATTGTTTTATTTCAATGCTTTAGTTGATTCATTTAAATTTTAAAATCTTTGCTCTATGAAATCTTTAATTTTAATTTAAAGGTGTAGAAATATATAAACTGGATACACTGTTAGGGGTCATATTGCTGGCTTACCTTTTAAATTATTTAGGGTGTCACCTTCTAACCTGCCTCATATATCCAAGAAAAGAAAAGAAAAGAAAAGAAAAGAAAAGAAAAGAAAAGAGATGGTTTTTCTTGCCTTTTCCTGTGAACGAGGCACAGTATGAACTGGAATTGGTTGCCAGTAGATTGCACTGTTCCAGCTCTGGCTGCCTGTCGGAGGGTACATACCAGCCAGATTTACTTGAGCACTCATAATGGTTCGATCATAATCTGTACTTCGGACATAAATCTAAAACAGAAAAAGGAAAATTAGTGAACTGGGTGGTGTTGTCATTTTGATCCTACAGTTTTCTTTGGCATAACAGAAGACACAAAGGCTGAGCTCAAGGCAAGATATGAATTCAGCCTTTTTAAGCCATAAAGTGTACCAAAGCCTTCCACCAAATAATCCAGGTAAATACTAGTAAACAAGCCAGAATTTGGGGGTTTTGTTCTCCACAATTAACCATAGTTTTACATTACATATGAATGGAAAACGCTGGTTAACAATCCTAAACATGCCAGGAATGAAATCCAGGTTTATATCCCAGTTTGATGCTGGCTTATGAATCCTGGTTTGTTTGACAGCATCTTACCCTAGATACCAATTATGTTTAAGTCTAGGGTAGCTATGCTTTATTGTGGCTTCCTAGTTGGAAAGACTTGTTGGATACATTTCAGTTGAACAAATCTGTTCAAATCTACACAGCTGAGCTTTTTAGACAAAGACCACATTGCCTTGGATATAGCTGTATCATTACATTTACAATGCAAAGAAAAAGCATAGTGGTGAAGTTTTGACATCTCTGATGGATGCTTTGAGAACCTCATATAAACGAAGGTATACGGTCAATATGTTTTTCCCCAATCCAAAGAGCATGAGAATGCTCACCTGTTACCACCTGTTTGACTCTAATATCATCTTTCTGTAGAAGCTACTGCTTGGTGCACAGAAAAACATGTTACTTGTTACTTGCCTCTTTTCGTTTGTACTCAGAACTTAAGAAGTTGCTATATCTCAGTTTGATTGATTGCCCAAGCCTGAATTGCTGCTGCATTCCAATCTGTGGGAGCAATGATATAGATCTTTATATATATTTGCTGCAACTGGGATCAACCACTGCTCAAAGGGCAAATACATTGTATATCCTGTGATAACAGTGTTGATTGTAAACATCATGGAATCATAAAGTAGCAGAGCCCAGAACTTTGCCCAATCAGTTGTATCACACAAAGTCTTTATATAGCATTAAAATCCAAACTTTTGCCTGGATATCCATAATTAGTTGAAAAGCACACAAACCTGGACCAATTGCTCTTGTAAATCATGGGTGTTTTTGAGACCACTATAACCCTGACTTCATTGTCACAGCTGGGTTCACACAATGGTCAAGTTCAGATATAAGAGAAAACCACCATGGAAACCACTGCAATATGCTCTGCTATGTTGTCTGGACTCTGTCAGAGACGTACTGCATGATATGTTTGGTTTCTATGTAACCACAGAGAAAAACAGTGGTTTGTTCTATGGTTTCCCTGTTTCACCATGGATTGTTTGATTGTGTGAATGCAGAAGCATGGTTTCCATGCTGCTACCAGAAAATCTAGTGGAAAGAGTGGCCTCTGCTGGATGAGATGCTGTTGCCTGCATTCCCTGCTGTCCTTATCTGCCTAGCAACTGATATATTAGCTCCAGCCATGCTCTGATTGACCACTGTGGACTCCCTCTTGTCTCTACCTTCTCTGCTTCCTTCCAGATGTCCATCTGTGGCTTTGGAAAGTCACTGGCAGCAGAGAAGTGCACCATGCCATCTTCAGCAGCAATATTGGAGACAACTGCATTTGACCTTGCTATCTGGTTGCTGTAGTTCGCACAAATACTCCCCCTGAGCCTTTCTGCCATTTTTTTCTGGAAGAAGCATTTCTGCCCTCTCTGCTAAGTTCCCCCTGCATGAGAGGAACACATGGATTATGCACATAGCATTGCCAATAGGGCTAGTGTCCCACAAAGTTCATGTCCTCCACTCTACCTTCTACCGCTCTTCTGCTCCTATCTTGTCCCTGGCATTCCTGGGACTTTCAACAAGCCCTGATGTCACCTCCCCCACAACCACTGAGTCCACCCTGGTTGAGGAGTTTATCAGAAGCTGTGGATGGAATAGTTTTTCCTCTTTGCCAGCCTCTGCACTTTTTAAAAAGAAAGTTTGTCACCCTTGCATGTAGCAGTGGCATTCCTATGCATCATCAGATCCTTCCAACAATACTCAGGGAACTGGAGCATCATGGTGTAGTGTCCTTCCAGGGGCTCATTGTTAAGGGGGAAAGATTTGTTGCAGCAAAACAGAAGAAAGAAAAAGCCATTTCGCCAGTGCCACCATTAAACCCCCACTCCAACATTTAGTTAAATCTCCCACCTTTGTTACACCATTTTATCACACCTTTCTTATCCTTACCTACCATGATTATTGCTCCCAATAATCTGTGGATTCACTGTTCCTGTTTATATCTGGCCAAATCTGCAGTAATAATTTGGTACCATCAGTTGCCAGTGCCAAGAGGCCCTGATGCTTCACAAGAGACATTATGTTTTAGAATACTGCACAAATTATTTGTCTTTAGCCCCATACTGCACAAGCATCTCCTCTGCCTCTTTCTTTTATTTTTCCTCCTCTTAGTTCCATATTGGATGCATCCTTTGCTCTGTTAGGGGACAGGCAACCACTTTGTATGACACCATGACCATAGTGGTCATCAAGAGTGTAATTAGCAATGTGTAAGCATGTGATCTGCTGGTGGGAGCAAATCAAATCCTTCCTGTCTATGGCAGCTTATGTACACTGTTAAAATGAAGCCAAGGATGCTCCTCTGTCTAGTTTTTAGGTATGCCGGTTTTACAGATCATGTATGCTGCTGATATCTCATGGTATTAAAAAGCAGCATCAGGAATGGAGGCATCTTTGAATTTGCACTTGCTATTGAGTCAGATATTACCAGCGATACAATGCATGTTTGGACATGAGGCATTTATTGTGCTCCTAATCACTATACCTACTTTTGGTTTCGTTGCAGCATTGACCTAAGCTCTCCACAAAGAACTCTTTCTTTCCTGCTTTTCTGTTACATGGCCTCTAGATGGAGCTGTACTATGGTGAAATAATGCCTATGCACCAGGTGACAGAGTGCAGCTTTTCTCATTGCAATTTAGAAATTCATTTCCCCCGTTTTTCCCTAATAAAGTGCTCTAAAATCCAGAAGTGAAACTGGAGGAACATGACATCATCTAAACAGCCCATAACAACTGTGAGTGAGGATTACATGCATACAATAATTATCTTGTGTAGAAAAGCCCTTAATGTCAGAGGTGGAGAACTGTGTCCCTCCAAGGTTCTGGTTGGTGAATCCAACTCCCATCAATTCTAATCAACATGCTCCACGACACAAATGATGACAGCAATTATTTAAGACAGGAGGAAATATACAAACTGAAACCTGGTGAGTGCATGGTACAGCTTGATGCAAGGATGCTATCTTGAGTTGGCTATAGCAAAACCATTATGCATAGGAATAGAACCTGAAATAATCACAATATTTTTATAACATATTTTCTTTCATTTCTAAGATTAGCTATCAAACCTTAGTGAGCTGTCCATATCCCTGTGGCCACACATCTTCACTGACTGGATTAGTGGGAAAAGATGAAACAGGGGATCTGTCTCCATGTCGGTAAACCTAGTAAAATGGGTTGAAGACTGTATTAGCTTTCATTGGAATATGCATTAGAATATGTATTTTATTCTATGTATAGTAGTAATGTATAGTACTTTATAAATTACCAGTGTATAGTAATTTGTCTGAATTAAACTTTAGTTACTTCTAGACCAGGGTGGATCTTCATCTAATCTCATTTTGCTAAGCTCTCATCATGGTGCTACTATAGCCACATCCCACATTCCTTACTGTTAACACACATTGCGAGATTCATTGTGGGATATTCACAGTTTTCACATGTCACATATATTTTCTCTAGTGCTATTAGTGGGTGTTGCTAGCTGGGCTGATGACTTGCTGTTTGTCATTATTTAAGAATGCGTCAGGGTTAGGGTTGGAAAGAAGATGTGTGCGAGGACATGGCCATTTCAAGTTCCCTTGTTTTTTCTGTATGTTTGCTTTTAGCTCAGTTTGCTATACGTATGTGCAAAGGAATGAACATGGGGGAATGGGACTACAGCTTCTCTTGACACAAAATCATGGAGAAGGAGAAAGGGTACTGCTCAGTCTGTCTTTTCAAGCCAATGACAGCATCACCCCACTTCCCTCCACCCCAAGGACAGGTAAGTAGAGTTCCTCACCATGCAGAGTTTCCCATGAGTTACTTCCATTGAAGTCAATGGGATCCAGTTATGTGTAAGGCAATTTAAGAGGCTGTTTTATTTCTGAGTGGGCATGTTTTTCAACTGGTTGCTTCCTGAGCAAGAGGGAAGGCATGAAAAAAGAGGAGGGAGCATTTGCTACTCAGAGTGAGAGGTCTAGGGTGTAGCGAGGGAGGCAGGAAAGCAGTCAAAGGATTGCTGAGTCACTTCCCTGTTTTGCATAGCCTAAGCCCACTTGGGGCATTTATTCTCTCCCCTGCCCCATCAGGAAAGCAGGGGCAGTGCCAGGTGTGCAAGCAGCACAGTTGAAGTGCAAGAAGGGGAAATGATGGAATAAAGCTGCTCATAAAAATTCTGAAATAAAAGCAAAGGGGCAATGAAAAAGATGAAAACTAGCAGCATTTGGTGCCTTCAGACAATATAGGACTCAATAAAAGCTTGGTGTAGATCCGGCCTAGGAGTATCCCAGCCTCCTAGAGTGGACTCCTATGTCTTCTCAGAAATATGTCCCATTGACTTCCACTGGACCTACTCCCAGGTAAGCATGTATAGGCTTGCAGCCTCAGACTATCGCAGGGGCTTCCAGATGGTGTTGGATGCAATTCTCCTCATCTTTCTCCATTGGTTACAATGGCTGGGTCACAGCTCAGTATAGACTGAGGAACCCAGATAAAGTTCCAGATAAAACTGCCAAATCCTGCCCATAAAATGTCTGACTGATGACAGCCCAAGACAAGACAAACCTGGCATGTCCCTCACAGGACTACCGTGGACCATAATGCTTTCTTAGTGTCACTTGGTCACAGCCTCCCATATGACGCTGCATTTTTATTTAAATTATAATAATGATCTCCAAAATTGCATATATGCATATAAATTAGCACATGCATGGTTATGCAAACTGTGTCTTCTCTCCCCCCCCCCTCCATATCCCCACACAATATATATGCTCTTTTTTGGTGATTCATAACAGCCAAGGAACAATAATCATGATGACAGAAAACAAGCTTAAAACAAATCAGCAGGAAAAGCAGCAACAAAAGCCATATTAAAGCAATGCGCAGAAGAGGTCTAAAAGGACTGGGCAAAGATAAAGGTTTCACAGAGTACAGATCTTCATACAGTGCAGTGTTTGACATTGGAATGCTGGAACAAATTATGGAGTTTCATGATTCAGCACATTTTCATTCAGATTCAATCAGCCAGAAATATCAGGATCTGGGAAAGTGACATCGTTACTCAAGGGAGAAAAACAACAGCCAGCTATTGCTGAATGCATCTGAGTCTCATATTAACATGTCATTTTTCCTACCTGCAGATGCAAAAGATACTGACCAAAAAATAAGCCCTGCTATTACAGATGTTTCAGAAGTGACAATCTACATATATATTTCCCTATAAAAAGATGATCTGTACATACAAACAACAGAAAATGTGATGTGGTTTTTGCACAGAATGTCACAATTATAAAATATAGGGTTTGTTATGAGCATTTATTAACGCCATCATACAGCTCTGTAAATTCAATATCTGCTTCAAGATAATCAGTAATCCATGTTACAAAGAGCAATTAACAGCTTCATCTTTAAAGCCACCAGACTTCTATCAGATGAAAGGAATTTCTTGTAGCAAAAGTACAGTGCCATTAATCATACTGTTCTACAAACAGTAGAGGAAATTTACTATGGCTTGGTGGTGGATGAGACACACAAATGTTTAGCATTGGGGTGTAATTAAATATAGGCGGAGAGCAATCTACAGTAAGTTATGCAAACAGATTGTATTGAAATGAACGAGGTTCAAGGGGTTTGTAGTTCAAGCATTATCACTGTTATCATTAGAACTCAGAAGTCCCACAGTTTTCAGTGTGGAACTGCTGGGTGTTGTGGCCATCAGATGCAATACAAAACAATGAAAACAAAGGAGCCTCATTCAGCAACTGCTGATTGGGTTAAGAACCCAAGTCTCAAAAGCGTTCTTTAGGTTCCTTTACTAAACATTAAAGATAAATACTCTGATGTGGGAAGGGCCAATTTGCATGTGGAAAGTTGCTTCTGCATGAGACTGCTCCTGGATCAGGAAGTGTTCATGCAAATCAGAAGTCTCCATGCAAACCAGATGCAGGATCTGCCTTTCTTAAGAGGAAGGTTTCTCTCATAGAAGTTCCCTCCATGTGAATTCCAGGAATTCACCTTCTCCTCAGCACTACAGCTCACCCATTTAACAGTGGCTCTTAACACTGGTTCACCAATAATACTCAAACATGGTTTATTTAACCCATGGTTTGTTGTACTACCCAGGTGGTTGTTCAGTCCCTGGATAATGTGTCGCCCTTCTCCTTTACCCACAATGTCTCTGTATCCCAAATGAATTTGCAGCAATGTAGTACTGGTATATAGAGCAGCTGTTATTTGGAAGTTATTTTCTCTAACTGCTTGCCTCTGTAGCCAGGCAAAACATCCCATGGTTTTGGTATTGCATGTAACGGAAACCCATAATTTGAACCATCCAGAGTTCATAACCTAAGAACAAACCAAGAATTCTCTTTCTGGGTTGATTGTGCTAAACAAACTATAGTTTACTAACACAGCTGTATTTGTCTACCTTGATACCCCCAGTTCAACAACCTGTGGGTTAAATAAACCATGAGTTGTCATCATGTGAACCAGTAGCATTTTCAGGGGGTTGAAGGTCTGCCATGGGAAGGAGATGGCAGGAAAATCAACTTCCACCAGTGCAGTTAGCCCACTGTAAATTTGGATCCAGCCCTTCCACTGCTATCTGCACTTGATGTGACCTCTTAACGGTGCTTTCATTCAGACTATGTGGTATGTGTAGAATTGTGATTTCCATTCACACCACACCTTCCATCCCAACTCATCTCCAGGCACAGAACTATAGTACATCATTGTGCACAACTGTCTGGGCTGTGGCCAATCTGTTTTGTGACAACAAAGTAGGTATATATATTTTGAATACAAGACTTTGAATACATGAACAAGCAACTTCATCAAATGTTAAGCAGGCACTTTCTTTAGAAAAATAACCAGAATCCTATCATATCCTAAGAACTGCAAATCACAACTCAGTTCTGCACAAGTGGTTCATCAGTTTCCCCACTGTGAGGTTGTTCCTGAGTCTTTAGGTGTAGGGTGTCATGCAAAAATTAAACAATGGTAGATTTCCCAGTGTCTTTCCCTCTCCCTACCAAGAAAGGCATCCCCTTCAAATTTCTGTATGTCAGGCTACTTCTTTTTACACACTTATTTCTAAAGATGGTTTAAAAATTTCCTTCCTGAATCAAATGTTTAAAAAATCAACACCCAGATATACCTAACGTACATAAAATAGGAAACAAAATCTATGGCACAGACAACCAAATCAGTATTGTCCATGCAAATAAAGCAAAATTAAAAATTAAGGTGTGTTGAATACTTTTCATAGGCAAAGTAATCTACAAAGGTACATCAGGAATGGAAATTACAGGGAATAATAATAATAATAATAATAATAATAATAATAATAATAATAGCATATTTTGTCTTTTTCAAGGAATTATCTCCCATTGTTTTGCAAGAAGACAGAACAGGAAATGGAAACGAATCTTTTCAGTCTCACGAAATGTACAAGGTTCGCTTACTCACAGGAGCAGGTTACAGAAAGAAGAATTTCTGATCTAAACAGCAAAGGTCATGTCAGCTGTGAAAAGAAACTTCATACTTACTGTAACCACGAACTTCAGCTCCCTTGCTGTGGCACTCTGGAGAAGCAGACTAAAGAGGAAACTAAGGAAGTAGAAGCCCAAACGACTGAAACAGCACACTAGATACTTTCCTGACATGTCCATCCTGACAGCAGGATGAAAAAGCTTTTTAGTGACAATTACCCAAGAGGAAAAAGCTGTGCTTTATAAAGAGCAAACAAAGGGGTGGAGACTCTTGCCGTATACTTCATCTTGAAGTTTTATTTGATCATCTTGGCTACAGCTCTATTTCTCTGTCATTGAATTATGTGCAGAGAAGTGGTAGATGATTACACTCGCCACTCAGCAGAGGCTGTGCCCATGTTTTCCCCTCTCTCTCTCTAAAACTGTCAGCCAGCATCAGGCATTAGTGGAACACTGCAGTGAAGAGGACATAAGGCTTATACCATCTGCTATGAGTGGGTACTATTCTGTTCAATTGAGGCTTAGTGGGTGACCTCTGGTTTGGGTAAGCAACCCATTGGAATGGACTGTTATCATAAAACAAACACAGATCATCACCAACTGCCTGACCACATACTAGATCTTCTCCTGACCACCAAGATTCCTTTCTGAGGACATTCTAGCCTGAGGACTCTATGCTTTTGCTTCTGTACTCCACAATCTGTCCATAGATTGGTTACCTCTAAAGTCTCCTTCTGAGTCACTAGTGAATGGAAGGTCATCCTGAGACCCATTTAACACCCCAGAAATGGGATTTTGTCAGTGAGGCAATAAAATCACAATGGTGCCAGCCAGCTGTTCTCTAGATATTTTAGATTACAGTTCCAGGATTCCTGATCATTAGTGATACAGGCTGCAGCTGATGGAAGCTGAAGTCTACACCATCCGGAGGTCACCAGTTTGGGGACTGTTCAAGGAAATAAGAAGGAGCCATTGATGATTAGCATAGCTTTCTAGTTCTGTGCCTGTGCTCTATCCTAACAAGAGATATGTGACTCCTTGGACAAATTGACTTTGGAGAAAGGTGTCTGGGAGGGTTCCAGCTTGAGTTTTTCAACTCCTGACCACCAGCCTCAGTTCTTATATCAAGAACCTGGTCCAATTGTTCAACTGACAGCACAGATGGCTTACCCTTCATTGTTACTGAGATCAAAGCTGATACCAAGACAATTCAGGTACATTCAGCCTTTTCTTTTGAGATCCCTAAGACTGACTTTTAAGGAAAGAGTATATGAGGAAGTTTGAACTCCCAAGCCTTCCAATTTCTCTAGTATTGGAAAAGCATTTTGTTGGCATTTGGCCTAAGGGAGAGAAAGAAGAACACAAAACCTTATGACAATCTCTTGGACTAATAGGAGTTCATCTTTGTTGTTTCCCTTGTGTTGAATGATAGATTATATATTTCTGAGGGGGTAAGGAATTATCCTCTTAAATTTTGTAAAGCAGCAAACATAATGATGGTAGTGCATCAATCAAGCCTTCACAAGTATTATGTGGGTGTATGTCTATGACAGATTTTTTTTAAAAAAATCTATCTAAATTAAATCCTCTTGCACTTTTATGCTACCATTTGCTCAGCTATCTTTTGTAGCATCTCTCAATTATACAATGGCACCCTAATGTAAGGAAACCATTGAAAAAGTTGCAAGAAGAGGGATTCAATCCGTGTGGTCCCCCCCTCCTTGCTTTCCTTCCTGTGTTAATTAAGAAGGAATGCATCCTCTCTCTTCTTGATGAGGGTAATAGCACACCCAAGGCTGAAGGTTGGTGATTGTGGGGCCAAAAAAAAAAAAAAAGGCAAAGAGACTGAACTCAAATTGTAAGTTATTCAACACAAACAAAGAATCCCATGGTCATTTCAAGTACTTAGGAGCACAGAATTGAGAGTTAGATGCTGCATTGGCTACAGGTGTTGGGTTGGATTCAGACTTAAACACTGAGAAAACCTGCTGACATCAATAGGATGGCTAACATAAGTCCCACTGATTTCAGTATGTCTACCCAGGGGTCTTGACCTCAGGCCCCTTGGACAAGGCTGGTCCATCTGGGGTCACAATCTGGCCCCAAAAGTTCCATCAGATGGGCCCATTCTCTTTTGTTGGTCTCAATGCATGGCTGGTGTTGGTAGTAGAGCCACCTGGGCACAGGTTCCAGATCTTCTGAGAAGTGCCCTAGAAGTGTGGAGATACGCCTGTTGCCATAAGCTGCTTTTATGTAAGGCTGCTTTCCCTCTCTGAACTCAGTAGCCTTGCAGTGACTAGGAGACTTTAGGACTTATTCCATTAGCAAATTAATAGCAAGTGCAGCATGAATGCACCAGTTTCTTAAACTAGAGGAGGGGCTGACATATTTCCTTTCATGGTCTACTTATTATTTCCATTAAGTCCAGAAACCAAGAATAATGGCCTCACTGCCACCTGACTTTCTCTGAGTGTTCCTCTGCATAGACCTGTCCAGGCAATTGCTACTGGGCAGCTATACTTATGCCCTTCATCTCTGTAGGCATGGAAGCCCTGGCAAGAGGAAGAGCAGTATATCCGCTACTCAGCATATCCTTCCTCACTGGCCTTCCTCATCTGTTGTCTCCTCAAAGCTGGCCCAGGCCCCTCACGTTGGGAGACTTTAGAAGTAGGGTTGCTTGTGAAAAGGGTTTGACTGGGTAGCAGTGTCTTGATCTGGAGCGAGGTAATACGTGAGCATATGGCTTGCCCTGACCCACTGACTTGCTTGAGAGTGCCTGCAGCACTTTGGCTCTGCTATCATCTTTCTGGGGGGTCCCTGTTTTTGCATGATTCATGAGATGAAATGCTGGCAGCACATGGGCTCCCTTGGTTTCAGGGGTTAGCCCTAGGCTAGAAAAAGGTAACGTGTGTAAAAAAAGATAAGAGAGTCTTGTTCTTTTGGGTTCAAAAGCTGCAAGGCCTTGTGGTAGCATCAAGGCTTCCACATTCACAGACAGATAAGTTTCATGGACCCAAATCTACAATACAGAAAGTTTTTTGAATGATGTTGCTTCTCATGGGAAAAAATGGCATTCCTGAAACAAATACATTCCTATATCTTCCCTTCCCAGTCTTTCATATTCACTTTGCAATTAAATTGTAAAAGTTTAAAGGGTTTACATAGCTCTTTGCTGGTTCCAGGTACCATGTGGGCCTGGTGGAACAACTCACAGTTCTGGTGTTGCATGTAATGGCAATCTATGATTTAAACAACCCAGAATTCAGAACCCAGGAACAAGCCGTAGATTCTCTTTCTGGACTAATTGTGGTTAACAAACCAACCAGTGGGTTAAATAAACCATGGGTTGTCATATTTTGTGAACCAGTAGCATTTCCAGGGGCTTGCAGTGGACAAGGAACTCAACTTCCACCAGTGCAGATGGCCCAGTGTAAATCCGGATCCAGCTCTTGTACTGCAATGTGCGCAAGACGTGATCTTTTAGATGGTGCTTTCATTCATGGAAACACAGAGAAAAGGCAAGTCAGAAGAAGCCTCTGGGGCCATCTAGTCTGACTCCTGGCTTCAGCTGGCTCTACTCATGTAATCCCCAACATGTAGTTGTCCAGTGGTTCCTTGAGCACCCTCACTGATTGGTGTTCAGACTTTGTGGCATGTGTAGAATTGTGATTTCTACAATTGTGAATTGTAAAAACGTTTTAATAAATAAATAAATAAATAAATTTCCATCCACACTGCATTTTCCCCATCCTGACTCATCTCCAAGCACAGCCATGCACCATTGTGCACAAGAATCTCTGTCTCTATTTTGATTTGTGAATGTAAGACTTCTTGCACAGCAACAACCAATTTAATCAGATGCCAAGCAGGCAGTTTCTTGAGTGAAACAACCAAGATCTCTATTGAGATATCATATTTGGACAAGCTATATTGGAGGAAAGCCAAAGTTAACAAAGTGAAATGAACTAAAATTAAGGAGAATATCCAGATTGGTAATGGCTGGCGTGCAGAGCAGAAATAATAATGAAAACATTTGCCACAGTATTAAGCATACTTAAAAAGGAGTAGAAAATTGGGTGAAATGACAAGCAGGCACTTTCTCTAATAAGAATATCAAAATCACATTTCTTAATAAAATCCTGAGTATCACTAATTTAATGTATTGCTAATTTTTAAATTCTGAATAGTTTTGCCATTTTTCCCTTGCAATTGCTCCTGAGTCTTTAACTGCTAGCTGCCATGCAGAAAGTAAACAATAGAAGATTTTCCAATCACTTTTTGTCTCGGTGCCAAATCAACTGATAGTCAGGTGATAAAATGCACACAGTACAGTAATTAAAACAAACCAACCAACAAAAAAAGGCAAAATGACCAACAGTAATGCATCCAGTTTATATATTATATAGATATTGATATAAAAGATGAGATTAAACAAACCTTAATATTTATTAATGCAGCTTGATTTTTAATTTATTAGTGTCATTTTGTGGAACACAAAAGCTGGTTCTGAGGCTGACTTTTGCAATATTGGAAAATAGTCTTTTAAAAGGGACAGCTCACAATCATGGCTGTCAGGAAGTCGTGACTCATTCTTCTTGCATATTCTCCTGGGATACTACACAGAAGAAGAGAGCACCCATTAAGAGCCTGATCTCTCGGGCCCATAGTGGGTATTTCACAATTCAAGCCAACCATGTGGGTAAATTGCCATGCTGGGTGCTCTTATGTGTGCACCTGTAATTATCCTATCCTATCCAAACCCTATGTCCAAGTTTTGTGCAGTTGTGTGCCAATGATTCCACCAAACCACTACCAAAAGTGTGAAAATGAAACATCCTTAGCTGGGACCTTGTGAATACTAACAATTCCACATTCTCATGACCTGTTCAAACATTATGATATTTCGTGTTATAAATCCTGAGTTTTGTGCCAACACCAGCTGTCTACTGATACATCAAATGGGCTTTGTAGTTCACATAGACCAACCCTACCCCAAAAAACCCCCAAAACCATTCTCATAGCCCTTCCAAGCTTATGCCAATTTCTTACAGTAGTTCTGTGCCATAAATCCCATCTGCTATAGAAGCAGATAGAAGTATGATAGAAGTATGAAAACAACATGCTCTTAAGCTTTATGGTGCCACACATGAATGTGTACTCATACATCAAATTTCTGAACAAAACAGTCCAGAGATCAGAACATTTTCTTATAATAAGCTGCTTCAACAACTTGATAATCCCAGCTGCCCTCTCCTGCACTTTTTCCAACTGTGCAATATTATTTTCAGGTGCAGTGACCAGAACTGCTCACAGTATTCCAAGTATGGCCACACCATCAATTTGTATAATGGTATTATGCTATTAGTAGTTTAATTTTAAATTCAATTCCTAAATATTCCTAACATAGAATCTGACTTTTTCACAGTGGGTGCTCCCTGGCTTGACATTTTCATTGAGATGATTGCCCCACTTCTGAGATCTCTTTCTTGAGTCACTGCTACTCAGATTTCATCAGCATATATGCAAAGTTGGGGGTTTTTTTTACTCCAAGTTGCATAATTATATATTTGCTAACATCAATTTGCATTTGACATTTTGATGTCAGTTCTCCCAGTTTGCAGAAATCTTTGTGGAGTTCTGCACAATTTGTTTTTGTCTTAAATGACTAGATAATTTGGTGTTCCCACAAACTTGGCCATCTCATTGCTTGATCCTAATTCCAGATCATCTAATAAACAAGTTCAAAAGCATTGATTCCAGTACAGATGGCTGT